ATTCCGATCGGGATCGCCGATTCGCCGATCCGGATCGGTTTTTGAAAAGCCCGATCCGGGTCACCGATCCGGTTTTTAAACCATTGCCTTCGACCCATTCACTACGAGGGAAATGCCCGCTGTGTCATGTACATGCATACTCTTGAAAAGGATAGATGCCACGATAGATGATAACTCGTACGGTATAAACTATGAGAAAGCAAAAACCAAGACATCTTGTCAAGGCAACAAGACCCCTAAAGCTGAAATATGGTGACATATTTTGAAATTGTTTGTAAAGATACTATTTACTTTTGAATAATTATTTTTTTGCGGGTTGGACCGCATTATTATGTGTGATTCGAAAAGTGTAAAGCATCCATTTTAAAGAGGAATATAAGTAGGTATTTCATCTAAAAATAATAAAAACTAACAATTCAAATGTTTTTTTATTAGAATTGTGATTTTTATTTTTAAAATTTTTTTTTTTATTCATATCTAGGATCTCCATGTTAAATATTATATATCCTTAAAAATTAAGTCTTAAAATCCATCTCAAAAATAGATTTATTAATAGTCCCGTATTTCTACATATACAGGCTTGGCCGCATAGAAACCGGGTCCTTTACCTTTGGTGAAAGCATGTGACAACTATTCCTACTCATTAGATGTCAAATTGGATGATTTGGGATGAGTTCGAGATTTTTTTTTGAGGACTTTGCGTTAAATCAATGACGCTCTTATGACCACCCATTTTGAATAAAAGATAAGAATGATTGTGACTTTGTATAAAAAAGTAAATGGCCTCTTTGCAAACAAATTTTTTGGGAAAGCTTTATACACTTCTATTGTATGTAAGTTATATATTTCCCCTTCATCTAGGCATCCAAATTAGATCAAGCAAGCTACCGACCGTTTATGACCCCTCAGAGTATTTAAATTTAATTTTTTCTACAAATTATATGCATATGAAATTTGGTCCATCATTTGAATTTTTTGTTGGTTTTCTACAAATCATATGAATATGAAATTTCTTACATGATATCATTTTAATGTGGCACACAAACAAAATATTCCCAATAAGGGAGGAGTGGACACCCAAAAATTAGTATCAAAATGTTTTGTAAGAAAAAATAAAATAAAATAGTATAAAGGCCTAACATTGGTATTGGGTCCATCTTAGCCATCTACTCAAATCAAACGGTTGGATAGGAAAAGGTATATGACTTCTATACAATAGAAAAGAATGAAGTTTCTATAAGCCTAGGCTTTATAAAAACAAAATAGAGCCTCACCTCAGATCCTCGTCCGGAAAGCACTTTCGGCAATTGAAATCTGTATGAGGCTCTAAAATCAATTTCCAGCATCGACAATAATTTTTGAAATATAAAATGTACAAATATTGTGGATCTTTGAAAACTTTTTTTTATGACAAAATGGATGATCTAGATAATTTGTTACAATACACAGTATTTTCAGAGCTTGAAATCTTTTTTCTTTTCTCAACCATAATGTTCAAGCCTAGATGATCGATGTAAAGATATTTTAATGCTTGAATTGCAATTTTTTATGAGTTATTAGGTAAGCCTTTATCTAATTTAATTTTAAATTTTTTTTTTATAAGCCAATGGGAGTGGGCCCCTACCTTTGATAAGAATTGAGTCTAGAGCATAGCGTTGTAAATCGTCAAGTGCTAACCAATTAACCATTTTCCAATAGAAAAAATATAGAAAACTTTCCTAAATTTTAATAGAAAAAATATAGAAAGCTTTCCTATATTTTTTTATGAGAAAGTATAAGATGAGACCAGACCATTTACTTATTCCGAGCGAAAGTATAAGATAAGACTATTTACTTTTGACACAAGAATGTCACACTTATTCCTAGCTATTAAATGTGAAATCAACTAGCTAGGGGTGTATAATTGATTGAAGTTTTTCTCAAGCTTTGTGCATTGTTTTTAACTTTCAAATTTTAAATCAAATGGCTAGAGATGATTATGACCTTCTTGTACTAAAAATAATAGGGGTGGGAATGGGTTAGTTATGGGTTAGGTTCGACTGGACCTAGACCCAAATCTAAATACTTCTTATGGACCCAAACCCAGAACTGTCTGTGACGGGTCCAAAGAGTCCCAGATCCATGCCCGTACTCAGGATGTGGATTAGGACCCCTGACCCAGACCCGTACCCGAGATAAAAATACACAAATCCCTTTTCTAATGCATAATTCTGTAAAAATCCTCCAAATTTCATTAATGCAACTTCCTCCATGGAGAGAAAGTTCAAAAAAAGCTGCATTAAAATTCCATAAAAGAAAGTATGAAAATCAAATAAAAAGTTGCCATTTTTGTTGATCTTCCACCGAGCATCAAGATACAAAAAAAGAAAGAATGAAAATCAAATAAAATCTCGCCATTTTTGTTGATATTCCACCGAGCATCAAGATGCAACAAAGAAAGAACGAAAATCAAATTAAAACTTGTCATTTTTACTGATCTTCCACCGAACATCAAGATGCAAAAAAAAGAAAGCACGAAAATCAAATAACAACTTGCCATTTTTGCTGATCTTCCACCGAGCATAAAGATGTAAAAAAAGAAAGCACTAAAATCAAATTAAAAACATGTCATTTTTGCTGATCTTCCATCGAGCATCAAGATGTAAAAAACGAATGCATGAAAATTAAATAAAAACTTAGATGCAAAAAAAAGAATGCAAGAAAATAATAACTTTCCATTATTGCTGATCTTGCACTGAGCATCAAGATGCACAAAAATGAAATAAAG